AGGGACCGAGGCAGAAGTAATCCTACTAAGAGCTTTTTAACTGCTCTTAGGCTCATGGCTCATCTTTTAGACCTACAGTCATAGGAATTTTTTCAAATAAACAAAACAGTCCTTAGTGCTCAAAGAAAATGAAAGGTTTGATTTTTTTTTTTAATGGAATAGTCAAAGCTTTTTATATCTGTCTGTGTTCCTGGTGAATTTTCTGTCTGCTCCCATAAAGATTTACAGCCTCGGAAACCCTGTATACGGTTGCTATGAGTTGGAACCGACTCCACGTCACATAACAACAACATACCATGTACTGTATGTACCATTTGTCGATAAGGTTTATCACTCTATTTTGCATCATTACCAATGTGTGCCAATACAACACAATTATGCCGTTCAGACTCATTCCTGGAAATTTGAGCTCAGCCTTCTGGGATGTTTGTGTTTTAATTGTTGTTTCCACATTTCTAATCCCATTAGAAGTTGTGATTAAGTGTACCTGTCTAGCATCTATTTCTCTTTTTTATAGCTGTGTCAACTCAGAGTCATTTTTCTGATATATTTTTCCACTGAAATTCAATTATATGGGCTCAAGGTTTTAAGAAAAGCTCATATGAGTGATTAACTTGAACCAAACTACTTTGGGAGCCATAAATGCCTACAGCCTGTGATAAAAATCGTGGTTTATGAGGAAAAACTCTAGTGAATTTTTATCATTCATCCATTTTGTAACTGATTTTCTCAATTCTACCCCACATGCAATTACAGGATAGTAGGGATCTATTGTCTCTGAAAGTTAAGCTGCAATGCTATAATTTAATTTTATTTAACATGACAAGCATTTATTGGACACTTGTTTGTACAAAGGCCTGTGCTGAGTACTGTAGGTCATATCAAAGTGAGTAAAACAGAATCACTGCTTTTCTAAGAGGGCAATGTTCTAAAGCAGACTAGCAAGTGCTATAGAGTAATAAATCTAAATGTGGTGACAGTGTGGAAGAGGAGCTTACCTCAGGGATCTTAAGAAGAAATTAAGAGGAAGAAAGATTTGACTTGGGTTTGATGAATTGACAAGAACTTCAGAGGAGGATATATGTTTGTAATGAAAATTCATTTCAACAAAAGTTAATATCCCTAGTAAAGAATTACATAGACACCATAAAATTGATAACGATTATGGCAAACATGGAATCTTGGTGTGGTGCTGTAAAATAAATACTGGACCACAAGGATGGTTTGAACTACAACTGAACCCATATTCAAGGTTGCTATGAGTCAGAACCAAGTCAATGAATGGTACTTAACAACAACAATAATCATAAATATGGTGCAACATTGTAGGATAAGCACTGGACCATAAGGTCAGTTTGAATCGCAAGTTTGGCGGTTCAAACTCACCAGCGACTCCTTGGAAACCCTACACAGGTTTCACTATGAGTCTGAACGAACTCTATGGCACTTAAGAACAACACTGTATTCAGTAATGCCATACAATGTGTTAAGAAGAGCACCAAAACATCCAATAGAAAAGCATTCAAAAGACATATCTGTTGTTGTTGTTGTCGTTAAGTGCTGTCGAGTCAATTCCAACCCACAGAGACCCTGTATAGGGTTTCTGAGGAGAAACTGGTGAGCTTGAACTGCCGACCTCACAGTTCAAACGGCTTTGCAGTCTGGCCCATTAACCCACAGCACCACACCAAGACTCTAAAAAACATATTTACAGAAGAGGAAATGCATATGACTAGTAAAAATATGAAATATGTTCATACTCACTAATAATCCAAATAGAGTGTTGTTCCAATTTACATGTACAGGAAAGCAAGGAGAAGATAAAACAAAAGTGTGGCGTCAGAACTGAGCAAGTCTGAACATTCACATCCTGACCTGTCCATGTTTCCTTTCTCTATACTCTGTTCTTATGTGCCTCACAAGCACAATTGTGTCACATCATCTTCATCGAAAGATTCCATTTCCTTTCACAAACTATTTTCAAGTGTCAGACGTACACACACTGTCATGGCCCTTCTTTGTTTACTAGTTGAAGCAACTTCAAGAGCTATTCTTTTATATTTTACCTATGTAAATATATAGGATAAACATTGGACCAAAATGTCAATTTAAACTATAAGGTCGGTGGTTCAAACTCACCAGTCACTCCTTGGAAATCTGCCTATACAGTGTCACTGTGAGTAGAAACCAACTTGACTGCACTTAGCAACAACAACAATGTGTGACATGGAGCTGCTAATCATAAGGGCAGTAATTCAAACCCACCAGTTGCACTCAGAAACCCTATACAGGGTAGCTATGAGTTGGAACCAACTCGATGGCACTTAACAACAAGAATATCAAATCTTACATTCTATTCAAGTCATTCTAATATCTTGATTTCCTATCCCTCTGTTTCCTACTCCCTGGTTTCTTTTGAGTCCATGAGTAGCACAAACAGTTAAGCACCTGACTACTAGCCAAAAGTTTGGCAGTTCAAACCCACCAAGAGGCACCTTGGAAGAAAAGTCTGGTGATCTGCTTCCCAAAAGTCAGAGCCTTGAAAACTCTATGGAGTTCAGTTCTACTCTGCTCACAGGGAATCTCCCTGCATCGTAATTGACTCCAAGTCTGTTTTTTATTTGTTCGTTTCTTTAGAGCATCTAACGGAAATACAAAGTGTTGTCAGGATGAGAGATATGGTAGGAATACGTTCTTTACCACTATCTATGTCCCATAGGCCCTTCGGGAAATGCTCTAATAGTTTTCTATTGTTCATATGTGGTCTTCATGAGTCAAAGATAGTGATGGTGGTGGTGGTTGTGTGCCGCAGAGTCAGTCCTGACTCATAGCAACCCTGTATAGGGTTTCCAAAACTATAAACTTTTACAGGTGCAGAAAGCCTCACCTTTCTCCCTCAAAGTGACTAATAGATTCAAATTACTGACTTTGAGGTTAGCAGCCCAGCTTGTAATCTACTACGATACCAGGGCTCCTTAAAGATAATTGATTGTTGAAGTGCTTTCCAGTCAGTTCCAACTCATAGCAACCCTGTCCAGGGTTGTGTGTGCTTTCTCTTACCCTGACGAGACTGCCTTCCCGTAGAGACCTTTTGACCCTCCTGTCCTTAGATCATTCTCCTTCCCCTCTGGGTGTACAGGTTTGGCCTGAAGCGGGAGCAACAGCTCTTCCATCCCCAGGAGGCCAGTCTCTGTGGAACCTTGAAAGACTAACAAATCTTTGAGTATTTCCAATACAATCTTCTGCAAGGGCCATGTCATGAATCACATGTTTAGGACTTTCAGTTTTTCATATTATTTATAGTACTAATTAAAACAATGTTAGCTGCAAGTAACAAAGACCAACTCTCAAGAGCAGAGCAGATGCCAAGAATCAACAAACACTTGAATTCTCTCTTCACGCCACCTCTTGCCTTTCATCAGTAATTCTGCCTTCTACCCTCTTGCTGCAGTCTGGGTTTTTCACTTTCCCATTCACGGATGAGCCCTTATTTACAGAAAAGACGTTTTGTTCCTGTTTTTATTTTTTGTCATTGTTGTTATAAGCAGGATCTCATCAGCTATTTTTTTTTTAAATCTTGCTGAAATTTCACACGAATCAAAAACATTCCGTCTATTAAACCAGTAAGACTTCACATTTGGAATCTGAAATTATTTCTGCAATATCTGTGCTTTTAAAGATTTAAAAATGTTTATATATTCTGTTGTTGAAAATATGCAGAGCAAAACACATACCAATTTGACAGTTTCTACATGTATAATTCCTAGTGTGGCACCACAGGCTAAGCACTCAACCTCAAGGTTGGTTTGAAGTACAAGGTTGGTGGTTCAAACTCACTAGCCACTCCTCACAAGCCCTATACAGGATCCCTATCAGTCTCATACAGATCTTGAAAGAACACAATGCTCAAGGCAGATATTCCAATTTAAAGAATATCTATTGTTTGGCTTTAAATAGACTTCAGGGGATATTTTTCAATTAAGGTGTAAACATTATTTAAGGGCAACAGTCAGGAGTTCATCCACTCTCCACTGCTGTAGAAAGTATGAGTCCATGAGAATTTAAAATTCTATTATGTGTTTTTCCCTTTAAGTCAGGATTTTCTATAGAATCTTTGGTCAGACTATTCAATAACAATGGTAGCTGGGCACCATCCAGTTCTTCTGGTCTCATAGTGAAGGGGGCAGTTGTTCATGCAGACAATTAGTCACACATTCCATAAGCTCCTCCGATTCCTCACCTCCTTCCCCTATTGCTCCAAGCAAATAGAGACCAGCACCTGTAAGGTTGTTTAAATAAAAATATAATAAACTCTAATGCACCAGCAGTAGATTGTTTCTTCCACCCATACTGAAGTTCAAGTAAAACCACTGTGGTTTGAATGGAAATGATTTATTTCACCATTATTAAAGAGCATAAAGAAGGGAAATAATCTTAATTAGAGAGGCGGGAGCATAGCTTTGGTTGGCATCTCTGATTTAATTCAAGGGATACAAACAACTGAATCAGAGGGAAGCCAAATCTCCAATAAAAGCAAGCCTCCTCCCTCCCATCTGCTGCCAAGTGAGGGGGAAGATGCAAGGAGTCTGGCAGGAGGGAGCAGCCTGTTCAAACCCTGGGCAAAATTTTAAGTAGAATCTTTTTCCTTCCCCACACTCAATGACTCTGTTGCCAGACTCTCTTTGTTCTTTGACACAACTACCACAGAACATCAAATTTACTTAGAAGCCTGGAATTTAAATTCATCCCTAAGTATTCTGGTAATTTCTTCTTGGACTGAGTTCCCAGCAACCTGTGAATAAAGCATAGGTGTTGACATGTAGCATGATAATGAGGAGATGCATTACCTCATGATCATTAATTGAAGGGGAAAACAAGACAAGATGATTTATGTTGAAAGAAAATACAAGGGGGAGCAGTCTGTGGCTCACCATTGTGTGAAGACACACAGAGCATCCACTGGGAGTCATGGTTAAAATGCAGCCTGAGCGGACTTCCACTCAAACATCAAAGGTGGCTTTAATGTCATCAAATGCACACCGCTTTCCACTGCTCCCAAGCAGTTCCTTTTCGTCCTTAGGGAGGTTACAAAAATGGGAAAGTTTTATTGTATTTCACAGAATGTTTGAAACTCAGATACTTTTCCTGAAGCATTCAAAATTAACACAAATTATAGGCTTCTGCCAGCACCCGTTTCCTGTCAATGCAGCATAGTTTTTAAAAAATAACTATTTCAGACTTTTGAACATGCAAAAAGTCTTCTCTCAACCTATATATACCATGTTGCAGGTGGGTGAGGATTGCAAGGTCTGGAGTAGGACCACAGGGAGTCATCATCCTGGCTCCTCCACTTAAGGTTGGGCAGATTACTTAAACTTGATTGACTTATCTTAAAAGATAGGATGATGGCAGTGCCTATTTTGCAGGGCATTTATGAGGATCAAAATGAAAATTCCTTACAATGCCTACCTCTTAGTGATCAGATTGATTGTTATCATATCTTAAAGCAAATGGAGATCTGGTGGCATTGTGGGTTAAGCATTGGGCTGCAAACCAAAAGTTGGGTGGTTTGAATCCACCAGCAGCTCTGTGGGAGAAAGATGAGGTAGTCTGCTTCCATAAAGGTTGGAAACCCCACGGGGGCAGTTCTACTCTGTCTTATAGGGCCTCTGAGTCAAAAGCACTTAATGGCAGTGGGTGGGGTAAAATGAATGGGATTGTGAAACACTTAAGAAAATTTTAAAGCCATGATAGTACAGAAAAAAATTAATTAAATCTTGATTTTAAAACTAAAAATGCCTCTTTTTAAGTTTTTCTGCGGCAAATGTGGTTTGTTCAAGCTAGTTGCCATAGAGGTGGTTTTAATCCATGGAGACCCTATGTACAATCGAACAAAACACCAAACGGTCCTGCGCCATCTCACAATGCTGCTCTGCTTGAGCCCATTGTTGCTGCCACTGTGCCAGTCTTTCTCATTGGAGGGCTTCCTCTTTTTCACTGTCCTTCCACTTTACCAAGCATGATGCCCTTCTCCAGGGACTAGTCCCTCTTGACAACATGTCCAAAGTATGAGAGACGAAGTCTGGTCATCTTGGGTTCTATAGAGCATTCTGGTTGTACTTCTTCCAGTACAAATTTGTTTGTTCTTCTGGCAGTCCACGGTACCTTTAATATTCTTGTCCAACTCCATAACTCAAATGCATCAATTCTTCTATGGTCTTCCTTATTCACTGTCCAGCTTTCACATGCATATGAAGCTATTGAAAATACCATAGCTTAGGTCAGGTGCACTTAGCCCTCAAACTGACATCATTGTTCTTGAATACATCAAAGAGGTTTTGTGCAACAGATATGCTTAATACAATCCATTGTTTGGTTTCTTGCTGCTTCCATGAGTGTTAATTGTGTATCCAAGTAAAATAAAGTCTGACAACTTCAATTTTTTTCTCCATTTGTCATGGTATTATTTATTGGTACAGTGGTGAGGATTTTTGTTTTCTTTACATTGAGGTGCAATTCACACCGAAAGCTGTGGTCTTTGATCTTCATTAGTAACTATTTTAAGTCCTCTTTGATTTCAGCAAGCAAGGATCTGCATATCGCAGGTTGTTAATGAGACTTCCTCCAACCCCGATGCCATGTTCTTCTTCATATATCCTGGTAAGAGGACCAATTATTTTTGTTAATATGTGAATTACAATCAGGGCCATCTTAAAAGGGAAGCTCTTGTCCTGCTTCCAAGATCGATATACTTTAAAGAAATGTATGTATCTTGGTTTCAGGCCTTCCGTGGTCACAGTTTCTTATAGAACCCTCTTCACTGAGCTATCGAGGGTCACTGGCCTCATTAGCATAGTTCTGTAGTCAAACCACCTTCTAGACACAAAACAACTTCTCCCCCCAGCCTTTCTTCTTTAGCTAAAATGGATCTGCTATGATGATGGTCTATATACAATTTCAAGTCCATTCAGTATCAAATACATTAGGTTGATAAAGATATAGATATATTTTTAAAACAAAATTTCAGTACATATCAAGTTGTAGTATTGGGTGAGAAGAAGATCTGATCACCATTATTTATCAAAAAGCCAGCCAATTCAAAATTATATGAGGGCTCTCTTACCTTTCATATTATGAAATAAATAAGAGAGTAGCATAAATTTAATGAGGAAAAATGACAGAAAAGTAATTTGTAGAGAATCCAAGACATCTCAATATGGAAGAAAAGAAACCAGGACAGAAACTGACATTTACAAAGACTTGCATTTATAAATTATGTTTATAAAAGGTAAAATGTAGTTCCTAATATAATAATAATGGACACTATTATTTTTAGTATCAGTAATACTAGTTCTGATATACATAGACAAGAATTTAAAGAGAACAGGAAGAAAATTGAAGACAGATTGACATGTTGGAACATAAGATTGTGAGGGAGGGCACTGATAGTCCAGTGGTAGAGTGCTCTTCTTCCATGTGGAAGAGCTAATAAACTCCTAATGGAGTGCTATAAGATAAGCACTTGACTTAGAACCACAAAGTCAGAAGTTCAAACCCACCAGCTGCTTCTCAGAAACCCTATACAAGGTCACTATGAGTCAAAACAAACTTGATGGCACTTAACAAAAGATGAATGTGGAAGATCTGGATTTGACTCGCAGCTGATGCAACTCTGACACAGCCATTCCATGTGTTAGTGGAGCATCCATCTACAGAAATTTGCATGTTGAGCAAGTTTCAGTGGAGTTTCAGACTAAGATGGACAAGGAAGAAAGGTCTGCCAATCTACTTCCAAAAATTAGCCTGTGAATTAAACGGTCTTATCTTAAACTGATCATGGGGATGGTGCAAGACTGGGCAGTTTCCTTCCCTTGTTTATGGAGTTGCCAGATGTGGACAATTGACTCTCCAGCAATTAACAACAAGATTGTGAAAAGTATTATTTTCATTTTATTTATCTGGTTTGGTCAATAAAAATTTCACAATCATAAAAATTTCAAGGAAAGAGATTTCTCTTTATTAATTTGAATGTCACTGACGGCATTCAGTTACAAAAAAATTGCATTGAGTTTTACTGTAAACATTTTAATGATAATCATTAAAAGTCTTTCTAATTGAAGCCCTCGGAAACCCTGTACAGGGTCGCTATGGGTCGGAACCGACTCGATGGCACTTAACAACAACAACAACAATTGAAGCCAGAAAAAAATATGAAATAATACTATTGAAGATTTTGATACCCTTTTTAACACTTAGATTCAGCCCATAATTTTATGGCTCTATAGGCAGCAAAGTCTGTCAAAATTCTATTTGTTCCAAGATAAAAAGTGAATCATCAAGCACAGCTCCAAGTATACCTTAATTACTCCAAGAATAAAAATAACTTTTAAATAAACATCTTTGCTTCCCAAAATTAGCATTGAAATATTTATTTTTTATGTCCTAAATTTCCATGCCATGGATCAAACTGATCTTGTCAGTAAATAAACATCAAGAACAAATACACTAAAAATTAAGAAATACCAATCCAATGGGAAACGTTGGAAATATTTAAGAAATAATTCACACATCAGTAGGGAAAAGTGGCTTCTCTCTAACTCTCTCTCTTCAATCAAAATGAAACTTTTAACTCTGCATTTTCTTCTCAAACACAAAGTGGCATTCTATTCCAGGGTCTCAAGCAATTTTCATTTCCTTGGACTGTCATTTGTCCCCCAAAGATGAATAGGAAGGTTAGTGGAAAACCTTAGTTACTAAATCAATCAGAATGAGTGTCACCCATTGGATATAGTTAGCATGCTAGTGCCATGCCTGCAGTAGACAGTGGCCATACAAAAAAACAGTGGTCAACGTTACCCAGGGCTTCAGGAAAGTCTTTACAACTGAGATGGAAAATGAGTTTCCTCATGTGTATCAATCCCCGCATAATGCCTGCTGGAGGATTCTGTGGAAAGGGAATCTAAGGTCACTCTCACAATTCATCAGTGATGTCTGCCAGAGGCACGAGGTAGCTGTGTATATGTGTTGTTGTTGTTAAGTGCTGTCAAGTGTATGTGTAGGGGAGGAAAATCTAGTAATGGCCTAAGGGCACATATTTTATTTTATATTTCTGCAGCATCCCCTTTAAATTATGCTTAATTATCTACCGTTCCCTCAATGAACTCTGTTCTATCTAACCTCTGTGCCTTTGCTGTGCTATTCCCTCTGCCTGAAACAGTCCTTCTGGGCCTGGCCTCAAATCTAGCTCTGAGCCTTCTGACTGAAGTTGGCAGCATAAATATAGACAGACCAAAACTGATCCAGACCAAAACAATTAAGTAAATGTAAAAATGAAGACAAAGCACGCATCAGCACGGGAAGCTGGGAAATGAGCCATTGAATTACCAGACATTTCAGGAGATATCTGTTGGAGGCAGTGCAGACAGACGGGACCAGATTGAGGAAAGGCACAGAGTCTGGATATAAAACTCATCACAACAAGGAAGCAGCTTACTCTCTTGGGAAATTAGGTAGGAAAAAAGTTCCTGGATCTCATAAACAGCTCCTTGTTTGGAAGGGCAAAGGTTGGGAGAGAGATGGTAGGGAGTGGGAGGAACAGTTCACTGTGTTTTGTTCACAGTGTTGGAAGAGAAGGTGGTAGAGGGGAGAAAGAGGGAACCAAGGGCAAAGGCAACACCACTGAGCAAAGAGCCAGTAGTGGAATGGGATTGCAAAAAGTAACTACATTATCTAGTGAAAGGAGATGGGTTAAGATTCTTACAATTCAACAGTGAGTAATTGTTACTATGAATTGCGGTTGTCACAACTGTAAAGGTAGACGTTTTGTAACATAAAGGAGGCAGTAATTAATCTTACTTTCCAAAAACAGGGACCCTAGAACCATCAAGGGAAAAAAGCACAAGCAGAATGTGGGACC